ATATATGTATGTAAATATGCAAATCACCTGCTTTATCAAATGAAAATTGTTTCTGACAGGATTGACTTATTGAGCATTTTTTTATTTTTTATTTAATTATCTATCCTTTCAATTCTTCGATTTTTTTTCCATGATTGAAGTCTATACACATTTAATAGTTAAAGGGATTAAGGCCCGGTTGCACCAACGTTATTTTGAACGAGACTTAAAACTCTCTTTGTCTCGTTTTAAAACCGAAAAAGAGACAGAGAGAGTTTTAAGTAGGAATGCACCGGATATCAGGAAAGTATCCGGTATCCAGTATTATCCGGCACTTTTTTACTATCCGACCGGATAGCCAGATATCATTAGTATCCGGGAATATATCCGGTTGAAATTTGATATCATTAAATTATTGATTTTTTCTTATATAGATGTCCTAGAGATAAGTATGCATATTCATGATGCTGTAATATCTTATACATTATTGCAAAATTACAATCTTTTTTTGTACAGGCTTTTTTTTAGAAGACTCGGATACCGGAAAATGTCGGATATCAGACTCGAAGAAATTACCTTCTCGAATACTCGGTTGGATACCGGATATTCGATGTTACATTCTGTCCGGATATCCGATATCCAATATCCGGCAATTTTATGATCCGATGCATCCCTAGTTTTAAACCTCGCTTAAAATCAAAGTGACGTTGATGCAATCGAGCCTAACGGCTTAAGACGCATAGAAGAGAATTAAAAAAACTACTATTTGCAGGCAATTCGTTCTCCTAGCTTTTTAATAATAATTCTTTATTTAGTATGATAATTCAAAAGTTACATTCTTTTTTGGTGCTATCAAAATTGTGGCACTGTTTTATCGATCCAAAGGCACACCCTTGTGCGTTTCATGGTCACTGTGTCACATTAAAGCTGAACTTAATCTCTTATCCGATGTTTAGATATGATATACACGATTACCCAATTAGCAATTATTGCTATGTCGCAGTTAAATTAATGAAGAGAATCGTTTAACCAGAAATTACTTCACAAAATAAAATGACACGTGCACAGCGATCGTGACAAATATGGACATTATTATTTAAAATGGACTAATTAGTTTCTATTATCTAATTTACAGATGTTATTATCAAACTAATTATTGCTACTACTTTGCAGCTGTCGTTATGTATATTGCGTAATGTTGCAGTGCCGCTTCTCAATGATAAAACTTGTAATATCAAATATATGTAATTATATAAATGTAAAATGTATTAAAATAATTGCACATTAAAATAATTGCACATTATAGTAATTGCACATTACAGTAATTGCACGTTAGATTAATTGCAAATAAAACGTTGTATAATTGTTTTTTATTATATGAATTTTATCTTTGCAAAATTCCATAGTTCCACAATTCACCGTGCTGCCCATAATTACCCTTATAATTAAGTCTGTCTGTGTAACAGGACCAATATCGTGGGCGTTTTGCGAATCACCGCATCGCAAAACGTGTTAATCGTTTTTCTGCGCAATCCGGAGCGCAATTTCGAAAACCTGGTTGCAGGTGACGGCACCGGTGATACCGATTCTGCACCGCACGCGGTATCGAAAAGGACGCTGACGAGCGTGTGGTACGTGATACACTGGTTAGAATATCCGGTGAGATTCGCTCTGTTTCGGAACCAACTGTCCCTTCTCTCTTCCATCCGAGCTGTGTCGCTGACGCGACACCGATATACGATGTAGTCACTTGCTTACACGTGCATTGCACATTGAACTGTTCTTTTCCTTATAAAGTATTCTCGTAAACGGTACCAAAAAAGAAAGTTCAATTCGTGAACCGGTTCTCCATCACTCCGTCATAATATATTATATAAATTTGTTTATATAAATATGAAAAAGAGTAGTATCAATTGTATTATATGTGAAATATCGCATATAATATATCGAATAAAAAATTAGTACTTTTTAATTATTTATTGCTTTTAAGAATATTTTTTAATAGAAAAATAATTTCATTAAAAATTGATTTTATATTTATTTATGTATGTATTTATAATTTATTATATGCTCGAAATTAATATATTATCCTTATCTCTCTTTAATTTTAAGACGCATATGAATTAATTTGCGAGTTTCGCTGTAAATAAAACTCATAATTTAATAATATTAAGAGCTTACATTGGCTTACAAGATTAAGTAAATTTAAGTTGAAGCCACGTTTTCGACGGAAATGGTACAAGTTATTTTGGGAATTTTGAAGAAGCTACATGAGTCATTATATGTTATGAGAACAGCTCAGACGGTTCTTTTTCGCCATATCAGATCAATGATGCATATTTTCAACGTTTCGTAATCGTTTTGTAAATCAATTGACAATTGTTATCAGTGAGAAGAGTAACGCAAGCTAGATACTAATTTAATTGACATCACACATGTTAGTTTCGTTGTCAGTGAAAATCGAGAGAATGAATAATCCTTGGCTTCAGATAAAGATATTCTGGCATTAAACCAACGGACATGAATCAACATTTGCAAACAATGAAACTATTAATGACAACATGTAAATGAAATATACGTTTATCTTTCTGAACATTTATCTTTCTAATCTGGAATTTTTTAATACTATAAAAATTGTTATTACAAATGCTTTTAATTTATTTTTTACGTATAACTTAATTTATTCTGTTTCATAGGTTTTTTTCAAAATCTCTTTAAAGCTATTTAATTTTTGAGTGCCTAATGCCGCGATGCTAATTTTTAATAAAGATGAATTTAAAAGATTCTTAACGTAGTTAACAAAACTTCAGTAATACAGCTTTGGAACTTTAAACATTGGTTAAGATTAAAAAAAAATTCTTAAATTTTTAATATTTTATAACTTTTTATATAATTTAATCCTTTTTTAATTGAAATACTGCTGCTGTAAAAAAAATAACTTTTAGCTTTACAGAAGCTTTCGCAAAATTCTTTTTAAATCCTAATTTTCAAAGGATTGCGAAACATTAAAGCGTTGTGTAGACATCACGAAGACGCGAGCATGAGGGCAAAATGTTAGATGTTGCGAGCCTAAAAATATGTCGACTATACGCATCGTAGTTCGCGCGTACGAAAGGGATCGTGTTTTACATTTAAAAATGAATTTGGCAATGTGCCAGTGATACATCCGAAAAAAGTCTTCCCTATAGCACGAGGACGCGCGATTAAGAAATTTTGAAAGACGTGCAAGTTTTACTTATTAATGTTTTCTAAAATGAACCACTGTCATTCATTGAGCCAGAAAACATTATAATGACAAACCTTGAAAGTAGTATTGGCAGGATGGTGTACGTCGCCAGAACCAGATAGCCCTCCTCGCAATAAACGTGACAGAAGATTGTAGCGACCTAATGTCGACCACGCGTCTTTGGTTGCTTGTACAGGATATCTAACAATAAGTAAAAATTTGTATTTTTTTCTTTAGTGTAAAGCACATGAAAAAATGTTGCCGAAGATGCGTTAATACTGAATAAGAGAGAGTGAAGAAAAAAGAAAAACCATGTATTTTTTATCTCCGTGTCTAGATTCATTATTAAAATACCAAGATTTCGTGAATATTGTAATTCACTTCGTCAGAACAAGGCGAGAAGTAGTAATTAAAGTCTAATATTACATTTATTGTACGACAAATTTTTCGAGCGTGTAAATTGGCTGCAGGAAAGATTCTCAGATCTCTCTATGACCAACAAATTTGAAAAATTTATCGTAAAAATTTTGTCTGACAAAAAACGAACAAATGTAACATTAGCCTGATACAGTATAGGTCAGACTGCTCCTCCCTCTAAGTGAACTGCAACGTTCACTAAACGTTGGTATTCTAATAATGGATCTGGACATGTAGATAAGCCATGAAACGCATAACTTCTGTATAGGAAGTACCCGTGCAAGCCTCAAAAACATAAAAAAAAATTAACACCAATCTGCTTTTTAATAAATTAAATATAGATATGAGACAAGTGTCAAAACAGGTCAATTAATTGCTAAAGAAAGATTTAAGAGATCAAATTGATTATTTTTCTGTAAGTTATTCAAAGACTGCTTCGCAAATGTCTGCTTTATTCATTAAATTTATGTTGTTTTAATTCTTCTTATTTTCTGAATTGACTCGTCAATTCTGTAAATCTAATTTCCAAGAGAGGAAGTAGGGTATAATATTTACAATTAAAAAGAAAAATTTATATTAAACGACCTCTCTCATCGAAACAATGTGATAGCGCTGATGTTTCACATGTTACTCGTCTCATCTCGTATCGCAAACAAGCGCAAAACTTATTACAGGAATTAGAGCGTGACGGCTTACCCTTTCGCAAATTTATATGTTTTTGGCGGACGACCATCTTCGACGATAGTTTTAACGTAGTAATACGAGTAATTCGACATTGTTTCGTGTTATAGGGAGTCACGAGGAATACAAAGCGAGGACAAACGGGGTATGCTCGGGATATGCGCGACACCGGAGTTCCATGCGCGAATTGTCATACAACCCGAATCGGACTGTCACCCTCTTTCCTTCGCTGCGTGTTCGCATATGCACGCTTAGTCTGACACTATGCCGTCGTTTATGCTGTGCTTATATATTTACTCCGCATACTTGTATGCACGGGCGTATATATAGCCGCCGCGCCGCCGATGTTACTGAGAAAACTATGACGCTTTCCGAGATGTAACAATGTTGGTGTCCACTGTGTCCAGCGCAGAGATCTCGTTGCCAGCGCGATGCATGTGTTCCTGAGAATACGTCGACACCAGAAAATGAACGATGCACAAAATAGGAAGGAAGAGAGAGATAGCCAACAATATAATGCCAACTTGCTCTTCAAATTAGAATTAGACATTCAAGCTAGACAGCTGTAAGTGGTGTACCACTTTCGATTAATTTACATGCTAAATAAATTAAGAGATGTAAAGAAACGGAGCCAATCATTTTTTTAAAAGAGACTATTGTACGAGACATTGAAGAGTTTTCCTACAAGTGCTTGAAATTTAAGTATTTATCGAATTTATGAGATTCATTTAATGACTTTATGATTATCGAAGGGAAGTATGAAATAGTAATACACCCTACCTTCCATAAACACGCCTTTATTACGTTTCACGTACAGATACATAGGCTGACTTTCATACGCTACGCGCACGTAAAATACGTCGTTGTAAGAAAAATAAAAAAGGGCTCGTGCTCTTTTTATTTCCTTTCTTCCCCCCCACTTTTCTATTCCCTAAGACGCATTTATCGCTGTCCACTTTACGATAGTGATGGTGCACCAATGAGGAGTTCATAGATCGTCGCCTCTTTGGTTAGAGAGAGTCACGAGGTAGACGATCAGCCTACGGAGATTTTTTACATCGATATTACAGTGTAACATTTTACTTGACAGCCATAGTACCCTTCATATCCGTATTGATTCCGTCGGAATCCTTAATCGTGTAAATAAATAGGACAATACGGCTGTACTGTCTTCAACCAGGGATTTACTTTATGTCGAAGACAAGACTACTCGCATTTCTTAGATGATTTTTAAATGTCAAATATATGTACATCACAAAAAACATTTTCCCAATCTGTAATTTCCAAGTACGTATCCACGTTTTAAACGTTGATTTCACGAGCTATGTCACTCTGATTAATTCAAAGATCCATGTTAACGAGTGATTCAATAATTTTACAAATTTCTGCCCCATCGCTATCATGCAATTAGGAAGTTTACTTGACGAGATCATCTTGCAAAGTATATGGTTGTACGTGTATATATGTGACGCTTAACGTATTGAATACATGCTTACGTATTTGGTATCTTTCGTCTCCTCCGTATGTACATAACTCGCCTGTTTTGCGTTCATTTGTAACAATCTCTTTTCTTCCTTTCTACTTACGATAATCGCGTGTCTTTCTTATGGAAACCAATGTTCGGCGCGCATCAAAAAAGCGTCGTCTATGAAGAGAAATTCGAAGGTTTCCCTCGATTCTCATTCACAGGAGGGTCTCCTCGGAATAGTAACGACGCGAGTATTCGTTGTCCTGAGCCCACGGAGGCGAGGAGAGTTCTACGAGCTGCGTACCCCTTATAATCGCAGTCGTTGTGGCCGATCGTTGCAGCTGCAATCGACGAGCAACGTTGCAGCCGAGCGCGGCCGGGCAGCCTCGTCAACCCCCCTCGGATAAATCTCAGCAGGAACACTCTTCCTCCCTTGGCAGCTCGTGACCCAGGGAATCCTTCATTGCAAAAATGAAGACGTAAAATAGAAAGTATTACATCGGAATAATTGCATTTCGATAATAGTGCAAGAAAAATTATAATCATTAATGTGCTTCCTCTAGATCTGTTTCTGAATTTACTAAAAAGTAGTAAGTTCAGAGAATCTTCTAAAATATTTGTAATCTCAAAAAGATGTCTGGTCGCAATCGAGGAGTTTGCACATGAAAATGCGCAAAAATATTATATATAAAATATATCGATGTACTAATTCTATTTTTTATTTTTTATTTTTCGAAATATTAATTTTTCTATCATACCTACTGCATACATCTTTTACAGATTTGTAAACCTTTATATTTTTGAAATATTATTCTGTCATGTTTCATGGAAAACCCCTTGATCGTATAAATGTTCGAGTTTGTCGGTGGACAAATTGCGTTAAGTACCTTCGATCAAGGACCACGGTCATGTACAGATGGAAACTTTGCAGGACGTCGAATGTAGGGGAGAGGTCAAGTTACCTTCCTTAGTTCCATACTGCCCGGCGTGTATGAACTGCTCAAGCGTTGTGTGGTGATCTTCTCGTAAGGGATGGTGCCTCTGCAGAGCGCGCTCGGGTCCAGACTCAGGGTTGCCTTCAAGGTATTCTTCTTCACCATACCGTTCACATTACTAACATTGGCGTTGAGGCCGATGATACGACTTGGCGAACAAGAGCGCGTGTTGGGCGATGAGTTCGTTATTGTGTCGGGCGGAGTGTCCGAGGATTGTGCTATCAGAGAGTCGGAATTGGTGTCGGTAGTCGTTGTGCTCTCATTACCGTTTTTACGATCCGTTATTGCGCTATCGATGTTGGCAGTCATATGACGTTCATCCTCTGGACGGTTGTTGCCATTGTCTACATTATCGTGGTCTTCGATGTCACTGTTTCGATGTATTGCCCTGTTTTCTTGTCGATCCGATTGGTCGATCCTACTTTTGTCCTACAGAGATCGTATACATAATATACCTTAGTATTAATTTAATTGCAATTGTAAAATGAAGAAGTATAGGGTAACATTAAAATAGTTTTAAATGTAATGAAACATTTTTTTTTTTTCATTACTACTAATTGTAAGATCCTTATTTATACCGGCTTATTTTTTGCACGTCTTCGCTCTACATTTATTTTAACTTCTAACCATATTATACATATAATTTATTTTAATAGATACGAAACTTATGAAAGAAGAATTATGATAGAATATAATTAAAATAAGATAATAATTAATCTAATAAGCGTAATGATTAAATACAATTAAAGTAATGATAAATTTTCTAAAATTTCCAAATATGTACCTTATTTTCAATCACATCGTCATCATGATCTTCATCATTGTCACTGTTGTAAATTTGTTCAAAGGTATCCATACTAGAATCACAGGTGTTGCAACCGAATCCTTGCTGACATCCCGTTGATTTCGCGTAAGACTCGCCGTATTTCTCCTCGATCGATTTTTCATTTTCGGAATCGTAGGAGGTGCAACCCATAGCTTGATCCACACGACGTGCAACGGAACGTGGATCGGTGACCCTCGGTTGTATGTAACCGCTATCCAACTGTCCAAGTTTAAAGTTCACTTTCTACACGTATGTTGAACAAAATATAATTTTTTCGTATTTTATTTTATAACTATACTGACATTAGACCGCACATTGATGCATTCCGCTTCCGGATCCGGTCTCATAATTGTTATCTCACGATCGCAAATATGTGGCAATATGTCAAAATTAGGCGTGGGTTTATTTATTACATCAGGATCCTTTGTAAAAAAAAATATTAATTCGTAAATTATATTGCCTTAGATAATATTTCGATTAAATAATAAGAATAATTTTATATGACAGAGATATATAAAGTTTATAATAAAAGCAATATAGTTGAAATTCCTATTGTACTCTCACCTGCAAACAATAACCGATTCTTTCAGCAATAGTAGAGAAACTTGGCCTGTCGTCAGGCCGTGGATGCCAGCACCGCGTCATGATTCCATATATAGGATCTGGGCATCCCGCGGGTTTCTCAAGACGACCACCAGACTGTACCATCGACATGACTTCACGATTTGCACATCCGGTGTAGGGCATATATCCGAATGACATAATTTCCCACAGGAGCACGCCGAAGGCCCTAAAAATTATATTATAAGAAATAAGAACGTTATAGGCTTTACTTCTTTTTTATCATTTACATTAATGTGATAGTTCTTTTTTCGACTATAGAATTTGACTTATATTCAATGAAAATAAATTACATAAAAATGAAAAAAACGTACGTATTTTTTAAAAAGAAAATTGTATGGGATTGAGAATGACATGTTTTTTTTTAAGCAAATATGAAATACTAAGTCTCACCAGACATCAGTTTTTGTAGTGAATATGCCGTCCAAGAAACTTTCGGGTGGCATCCATTTTATGGGTAACATCGCCTTGCCACCTTTCCTATAATAATCGCTTCGATAAATGTCCCTGGCCATACCGAAATCTGCGATTTTAACGGTACGACCCGGTGCTTTAGTTGTCAACAAACAATTCCTAGCGGCAATATCTCGGTGTATAAAACGCGCTTCCTCCATATATTTACAGCCGTTTGCGACGTCATAACCGCACATAACAAGATCTAGCATTGTCAATGATGTAGGTCGGTCCTGCAAAATCAAAGATATGTATACATATATATGTCATAGAAATTAGATAAAAATACGGATATTAATTAGAAATATTTGAATAAACCACATATTTTAAAGGTGCAAAGTTAAGAATATAGTGCAATATTTCAATCTCACTTTCCTCTTGAATTATAGTGTTGTCATAATGTTAATAATATAGTAAGTATTAATAAATGTTATTAATACTCACTGATCGAGGCCGTTCTTCACGTAGAAAATTCTTAAGGTCACCTCCGGCTAATAATTCGAGAACGATGTATCTGGGATGTTTGTCAAAAGAGACGCCGATAAAGTGTACTATATTCGGATGATTAAATTTGCTCATTATTAACGCCTCCATCATGAAATCAGCTTCTGCTTGCGTCGTGGATAAAAATGGTAGTGTCTTGACGGCGACGGGGTGTTCGTCACCTCTGTATTTGTAAACGCCCTGAAAAACTTCGCCAAAGGCGCCTTGGCCTAGAGGTCTGCATTAAAAATATAATCGATCATTCTTACTTTATTTCACACAACTAAAAAAAATTAAGCTTTTCTTTTATTTTTTACGTTCGAATTTTTGGAAAATCTATAGATTTATACATATATATATATATATATATATATATATAAACGCTAGGAAAATAATCAATTTGTAAAATTGTTTGGTACATCTCATTTTGATACGCTATTTATAAACATTCAGAAAATAAAATTCAATCTGTATAATTATTTATCTAATGTTAGTTCTTCCTTCCTTTTAGGAGACATAGTCGATAAAAATCGTTCGTTCTTCTTGATATTCAACGAATAAGAAAGCTAAATCGACTACGTTTTAAAAGGAAAGCAGTCTAAGTAAATATATTACTGATTGATATGCTAATTAGCCTTGGTGTATTATATATTCGTACTAACTTTACTAAATCGATACACTCGCGAGGTATTTGCGGCAAGTCCTTGAAGCTGTAGAGATTGCCAGCAAACTCGTAGTTGGGGTTGTATTCGGTCATCATCGTGTCCGACTGGTGTCCTGGACGCAATGCAGCTAATTCAGTGCCGTTGCCAAACATCACTTGGCGGCGATGGGAAAGCGCTTTCTGTTTTTGATACCGTTTATCTATCGGATAATATAAAATATGCAAAAGAAACAGAAATACGGAAGATCGAGAAATCGATATCTTATATTATTTAATCTATTATGTTATAAAACTCTCAAAGTTTTTGTGTACGTACAAGATATTAGGCAAATTCCAATAATAGTAAGCAAGCCAATGATTACAACTACAAGTTGGATCATGTACGTTTGATGACCATCCTTGGAATCGTCAGCCACTAAAATTTAACGTGATTTTATTTCATATTTGGATGTAATAATGAAAGTGATGATACGTCCACCATGGTTGTGCTTACTGATGCAGGATTTTGAATCGTTACTGAGCAACCAACCCTGAGGACAGAGACACTTGGTCTCACTCAAGTACTGATCGAACGTGACGCAACGGTAATCGCAACCGCAACCGCTGATCGCGGGTATGACGAAGACCTCGCCTTGGCCAGAATGAGCTGCAGCTTTGAAATAAACATCGGTGAGCTTCTGATTGGCGTATGAATAACCACCCTCACCACTTCCATCATTCTGTCCAGCATTCCCACCTAAAGAACGCAAAGTTACTTCTATAGTTACTTCTGCGCTAGTGCTGATGAAGATCATTATGTACAATATATAAATTTAGGTCAAGATGGATTTTAATCAGTATTTTTTGTTTCTTGATCTTAATTTCGTTATCTCAATTGTAGTTTAAAAATATATTTAAGAAACGTTTATATAATAATATGCAAATATTGTAGATTTAAATATATTAGCGAGATTTATGGTGACATCTAAATCACTTTGTACAATATTTTCATATTTCTCCTTACCAATGTAACCTCCGCCACCACCCCCTGATTGGCAACCACCCCCACCTCCGCCAAAGCCTCCATCACCATGAATTTCGGTTCCCGATTCACAACCGATACCTCCTATACCTCCATAAATTAATGGCGTTCCCCATGCCTTCCGTTGAAAATTAGGCCATGTACCATTCCAACTAGCACCAGGTCCACCTTAGAAGCCGAAATTCTACTTGAATTTGCATTTCAAGTTGCATTCTTCTTATAAAAATGCAGCTCAGATATTTTTATTATACATTTTAAGGAAAAGAACTAGTTACCCATGTGTTCTGAAAAATTGGACGGAGAAGATGAAAGTCTACCCATGGGAAAGGGACCGCGTCCATGCTGTAATCCATCGTCCATAGTAGGATTCAATCCTAAACCACCGCCACCACCCGCGATTAAGATGGGCTCCGGATCACCGTTTGCTTTCAACTATAATCGGTGTTATATCGAATTTGTATATAATAATGAGAAGGAAATTAATGGAAAACTAAAGTAAGACTTTCTTGTGCAAATATTATTATAATTCTAATATAAAATATATGTACAACTTACAATCAACTATAATAAGAAGAGATATGCATCTTTTATTTTTTTGTTATTTTACTAAATTTACTTAGGATATAATATTTACTGTGAAAATGGCAGTCGCACCACCGCCGCCACCACCAGGATTGCTAAACTGAAGCTTCTTCACTTCTCGCATTTTTGATGTCTGCGATAGTGATAAGTCGGCATATCGATTCGACGGACAGATAGTGCTTTTTAAGCCAAGAGCCTGTTTGAGAAGATCAATAATATTAATTTGTTGTAAACAATAATATGAACTAAACAAATAGAAAACATTTCATAATTTATAATGCAACTCAAAGAAAAAATTTTATTTTTGCAAAAATATAAATAAAACTGATCATGTAGAATGAAATTCTTTTTAAGCTTTTTTAAAAAAAACCGATTTTAAAATATTCTGTAGGAGGGAGGGAAATCAATGTTGAAACATTTTCATCAAACAGTAGAATTCATGGAAAAGTATTAATGAAAGTTATAAAGTAAAGAAGCTTAAGAATATAAAAATAAGTTTATTAATATTCCAGTTCTCACATTTTATTTTCTTGAAAATAAATGTTTGTGTAGAAGAAATATTTATTTATATCTTTATTATGTTATTTTATGTAAATCTTTTTTCGGTCAGCAGTACTCACTTTAGCACACGCATCCGTTCCCTTTTGACCAACCATGAAGTATAACTGGTCGCCCTTTTGGAGTTCTATGACACCGCGAACAAATGCACCCAAAGTGATGCCGGTATCGCTCGAGCCCAAACCTCCTCCTGCTCCGATGGCGATTAAACTGTTTTCAAAAACAATATTGTAATTAGACAGGTCAAAATGGATGCACCGTTCTATATTTTATTTATCATTTCCATACATCTCACGTATATGTAATTTAAAGGTATAATTTTTTCTAATTGGCTGAGTATGTACAGCCATAGATTGATCCGCGTACTAACGAAATTTAAATCTTACCCATCTATTTGTGATTTATTATAAATGGACGCTTCTTCGTGCAATCACATTTTAGTAAATCATTATTTTAGAACAAATCTTTTTGATTAAGTTTCTTGTAAAGAGAAACATATTTTTAATAATATGCGTGGAAAAAATTACTTTTTTCATTACAAAGCTTACATTTCTGAAAGAAGTTAATAACAAACGATAAATGTATATGACACAGAATAAATAAAATTTTCGATCATCTGTGAATTATCGATTTAATATTAATTTTATAATCTCTCTGTTAAAATTAAATTACCTCCTTGTGTAATTAAATTGATATTATCATTAAGCTAAACTGTCTTGAAAGCTCACTATTGTAAATCTATATTTCTGAAAAGATTTGTCTACTAACGTGTAGTATTCACCGCGTGGTGCAGTCCATCGTTGGACTCCATACAAATTAAAGGCCGATCTTTCCTCGTCTTGTGTCATTGGCGGTATGAACAATTCTACATTTGTGTTATTATATTTTTCAGTACATTTTTCATCAGTAGGACCGGCTCTGCCGAAAGCCGCGCAAGTAGTAATTCGAATAACTGAAAATAATATAACTAATGTAAAATGTAATTTGGTAATATTTCTGATAATCCGGAGAAAAATATATATATATGGACATATTTTATATTATATAATTATATATAATTTTATCTAATTTTATATAATTATATAGGAAGTATTTTTTTCCGGTTTTTCAGAGTATGAATATGAATAAGATATTTTATTATTATTTTTATCTGTTAATTCTAGCAACATATGACATACTTAAATATTATCTTTAATACACACATAATTATTACAAAATTTTATTTGCTTTTTATTTTTTTAATTTTTGTGCAAGAGTTTTTTAACAATAGAAAAAATGATTTGATAAATATATGGATAAATAAGCTTTATAAATACATTAAGCTTTGAAAAAAATAAAATTTTCTATTAAAAAAAATAATACAAAACGCATAAAAATATTTTTCGAAGATTTTCGATCTATGATATAAAATAAAATTAACATATTGCAAAGTATGTATAAATAATATTTAAAAAGAAATATATTTAAAAGAACATAAGTAAAAAGAATAATATTTAAAAAGTATAATTAAACTTTATCAAATGCATAACTTCATGTACCTGTCTCATTTACAAAATCTGGATGCTGCGGTGGTATTATTTCGGACTCGACGGGTGCATAGTAATTAAAATTACCTACAACTTCACGTGGAACTCCTGTAGAAAAGAAACATTCATATGCGAATGGTAGGTAGCCGGAAATAGTTAGTACGTAATAAAGAAATCTTTAAAATTATGTTAAAATTACCAATGCCAAAACATTCTCGACTCAAAGAAATATCGTCAATTGCTATATCACTTTTGGAAGACATCCCTCTGGACGCTTCAAATTGCAAGTGGTACCTACAGATATGCATATTTTATATCGATAAAATTTAATTCTTTATTTTTGAAACGAAAATTAGTTAAATTTTACGTTAAATGCGTATACACGTAATTTTCTGTATTTACCTATATCTTATATCAGGTAGAGCAACAGCTTCGTTATACCAAATATCGCTATTAGTTCCGTAGGACCACCACAAGTTTTCGGTATGATTTCCGTGTGGTCTTACTTGGACCAAAAAGAGTCCAAGAGATGCGGCATGTGGACCATGTTTGTGATAGAAAAACCGTACCTAAAAACATTGTCCGTTTCTAAGATATTTGTTAAAATAACTGGTACAAATCTTTCACTAAAAGTAGAATAAATTTTTAGATGTAAATATCTATTAAAATAATATCTGTCAAATTATATTTTCCAGATATAACATATATTATCAAAAAGAAAACGCATTGTGTATTTATATATTATTCATAGTAAACAAAAATAAAATCCAAATGGTATAACCTAAGCAGTAGTAGTTTTAATACTCCTTAATAAAATTTGTAATAAAAAAATAAAATACATTGAATAGTTATTAATGTCTTAACCGCAGATGCAAGATTAAATAATAAATAAGTCCCCCCTCCCCTCTCTCTCTCTCTCTCATTAGATAAATTAAATTACTTTGATTTTGCTTCTTATAATTCATGATTTGACTTTATCGATCTCAGACTTGAGTTACTTGTTCATTTGATTTAATACCGTTTTTAAAAAATGAATATACATATCGATTCAATACTTCTATTTTTAGAAATTTAACATACCTACATTAATATTATACCTATATTAAAAATGTTACATCTATATAACATATTAGCTAGATTATATCATTAAATAACCGAATAAATATATGAACGTACTTGACATGATTTATAATAAGGGCTTTTAGGGTTGCTGGCGTAAGGTGGTGTTGGATTATACAGAGGACTTGTAATGGTGCCTCGACTGCCATATTTCATATCTTTAAAAGCCATGTTTACAAACGCGTACGTTCCTGCCAAATAGGTGATAATTTTATTTTTTTGTTTATATGTTTTCGCCGCTTGATCTAGTCTCAAGTACATACCGGTTTCATTACGGTAAGTATGATCGTAACTGGGTCCAGTTCTTTCGGTCGGCGTAGGACCTTTATGAAGAGTCCAATTTAGAGGTCTTTCAGGAACGTTCGCCCATCCGCACCAACCATCTTCGAAGTTACAGCTCGCGTTCTTCGGAATCTTGTCTGTGAAATATTTTTAATATTCAATTGTATGAACCTACATCTCAAAGACGAAGCATATAGAATTTTTATGTCATGAGTTCTGATATTCAAGGAAATATAAAGTGACGAATTTAGGACGTACGCACCACACTCGAGTGCTTCGTCCTCGCCATCGGGGCAATCTTTCGTGAAATCGCAGATACGGGTCCTGTTTAAGCAGGAACCGTTGTTACACCGAAACATATCTTCCGTACAATCTCCAATAAATTCTAAAATAGACACGATAAAGAGTTACCACTTCAATTATAGAACTAACTTTATATACTGCATTAATTTCTTTTAATACTGTGATTGCCTTTGCAATCGCATAATACATCTTCTTCAAAATCAACTATCGATTATTTATACTTAAAAAGCCTTAGAATATAATCAATCTTATTTTTCATTTAAATAATTAATGTATGAATTCCATGTATGAAGAACGCGTGTAAATTAAACAGAGAGTAAGGTCATTGTATATACAAATGCCACAATCATTATTAAAGTATACACTGAGAAAAAAATGCTGTTGAATCAACAGTGTTAGTCTAATTGGGAATAATTTCGTTAATTTAAGTTAATTTAATGACAGTACTAATGAAACAAACATGTCATACTCCTGTTTCAATAAACAAATATTTGCCTAAATTATACAGTAGCAATTAAAAAATTTTCTTATTTCAATCATATATTATTATGTAGTTCCAAAACAAATATTTTTTTATTTTAATTACATGTGAAATAAAAAAGCTTTTGTAATGCAATTGAATTTAGTTTAATCAATTAAATTGAACCTGTTATTAGTTTTACTGCATAAAATGATTAATACAAATCAACGATATAGTCAATTGACCGCGAGCGGTTAATATAAATACTTCTTCAAATTGATTAAAATATAATTTACATAATCTAACAATTTTTTTATATAGTTTACAAATAACTTGTCATATTAAATTTAAATATATATTACATGAATCATCAACATCTGATTTACAGTCAAATAGAAATTATTTTGTATTGATTACACATCTACTCGATACAATTGAAATATACAATTATCAATACATTTATCTAACAATATAGTCAATTTTGTTACAATTAATACGAATATATCTTGTAATTGATTGAAATATAATTTACTTGATTTAAGAATCTTTTTGTACAATTGTATAAATTATTTATCATGTATTATACAATATGTTTAAATATTATATAAATCATATGTTTTATTTATAGACAAGTAGAAATTGTTTCACATTGATTACACATTTGTTTGACAATCAATACATTTATTCGCCAGACATGATCAGGGCACCTATCATGGAACAAGTCAATGGATTTCGATTATTGGAATTATTCAATTATTCCCTAGATTTTTATTGTGTTTTCTAAAGAAAACGGAATAATTCCTATTGAAATCTATTTCGACTTGTTCCATAGGTGACCAGAATGGGTCAAATAACACTCGAATGCTAAAGTGTTCAGACAAACGATTATAGCTAAGCGTTAGGCCAATACATGCATCCATTTTTTGTCGTACAACGAATTATTCAAGCGTGTTAATTAACTGCAAGACAGAAAGAATCTCGGACCTCTTTGTCCTATAGCCAATCAACAGGCTTGAAAAATTTATCGTACGACAAAAACGGACGCATGTAATATTGGCCTCGTTAGATTACCACTTTAGAGATCTTAGGTTCGATTACCGTTTTTAAAAATTGTAAAATATGCGTTTTTAAAAATCGTAAAATATCTGATGCATAATTATAATGAACTAAGTATATGTGAAACCAAATATATGTATAAAATAATTCTACATAAAAATAATAAAGAAAGTAAGAACTTATAATGTAAAAATTAAAAACAATTATTTTTGAAAAAAAAAATGTAACATTCGAATCAATTACATTGATTCGAAGTCAAAGTTGAATTTATTTCGGAATTAGTACTACTAACAACTTATTGAGTTCCTGTTATTTTGTAATATAGTTCCATTAACTTTATAAATATTTTATACAACTAAATTTAATATTGATTTAACATAAGGAAATGTTCTTTCAACGTGCTTTTAATTTATCATTATATGTCCTTAAATCAAATTGATATGTTATTGTTACAAATAAAAAGATTAAAATTAAGTCAATAACAAATAGAGTTGAATTAACTACTTATGTTTGTGACAATCCGTGATACATGCATTTATTTGACTCAATGTATCATTTTATTCATAGCAGCATTTTTTTCTCAGTATGTAGGCGTCATTGATACAACATGACAATCATAATATTCCATTAACATAATTATTTGAAAATATTTGTAATTACCTGGAAAGCAATTAACTAGGCGAAGGTTGTCAACGCCGATGCTCGAATTAGAATAGGGTACGTAGACCTCTAAAACCAATTTATAGGATTGATCAATCGCGCGTAATGAAAAACTTATTTTCTTCCACCTAAAACAACGTTTAAGCATATTTTTTAGATTTGTTGTCTGAAAATTTATATTATCACAATATCGTAAAAAATATTCTTATGCATATACATGGAGGTATTATTTCCGCTTTTTGTCACCGCAATGGAGCTCATGTTGTTAGTTTGTATGACGAGATTTATGAATCCGTTTTCCATTTCCACCATATAAAGTGAAAATTCGATGCGGCAACGCGGACCCGTACGAGGAATCGATTTGGACCATATATGAGCATCCCCTGTGCCGCTGAACCACAGAAAGTGGCCTTAAAAGGAGAACGAAACATTAATTAATTTTCGTACAGTTTTACTATGTCATATGGCATCGTAATTATATTTTAATTTTAAAACGATTATAGATTGGATTTTTGCTAATTTTAGTTCGATTCTAGTTTTATATATAGACCAAATTTTCGGTGTCATGAATTCATGATCTTAGGATTATATAATAACGCATTATTTACTTTAATCTTTTTCTTTATGATAATTTTTCTTTTGAAAAATAATGTATGAAGACTACACTGAAAAATAATGTATGAAGACTACACTGAAAAAAAATTAGCTAAATCTGAGTAAATATTTCTTGAATATTGCCAAGTAAACATTTATTTAGAACAAATAAATATTTGCTCAATAAAATATAATGATACTTAAATCAAATTAATGGTTCTTGTATTAAATAAATATACACAGTAAAAAAGAAAATGTTAATTTTAACATTTTTTACATGTCCCAGGAGATCCACTCTAAATTTTAAGTTAAAGTAACTCATTCGTCTTGTGTTATTTATTAACGAACTAGTAATGTTAAATAATTGACACAATACTTTACATTTATATTTGTTATTTTGACTTTAAGGGTGATTTAAAACTAACATATAAAATAAGTAGAGTACACAGAAGAGTAGTTGCAGTAACTCGTAAGAAAATGTTAATAAAACATTTTTGTTCGTATAATGTGAATGAAAAAATTCTTAGATGTTAAATTGACTTTGAGATATATAGATTAATTGAAACAATTGTGTTAAAAACACTCAAAATAATATTCCATTTTTAATTGACATACGCAATTGTTAAGTTAGAATGGTGACATGAATCTAACACATCAAAATATTGCAAAAATAATAACATATCAGTTGTATGTTGATTTTACATTGAAGTAGTAATCAAAATGTGGTGACACAAGAAAAATTCTACATATGGACGCACGATTTTTTACTATGTATGTTTACATTTAGTAAATATTTACTTGGCACTATTCAAGAAATATTTACTCAGATTTAGCTAATTTTTTTTTCAGTGTACTCAAAATTTTCGTACCATTTGAGGAATTGTTAGCGTCCGTGTTCGGAAAAGCTCTTGACGGACTGGTGCGCGCTTTAACTTTCTTAAAACCATGGGTATCATTCCACGCCCAATCGCAATCCGTGTCGAGGTCGCAATAGCCCATTTGCGGATAGTGAGGTGAGTGTTTTGACGGTAGAGCCGCCAAAAGATCTTTAAAACTCTTTCCATGCCACATGCTGATCTTAGAGCCGCATGTCAATGTGATATACCAACAAATCAGGACGATCCCAAACAACAATCTGCCGCTGCCGCCGTTATGTACAGACACATGTCGACGATTACACGTGCGACTCGTCTGACTATAACCCGCGATGGTGGTCGCCAGCCTCGGCCGCGTGTCGTTGATCATTACTTCGCAATTTCGTCCAGTGGCTGTTTAATAATTTCAGACGAGGTCATGCGCAACATCGCGCATTCTGCTTTTCGGAGATAGCAGACATGATTCTACAAACGTAGTTGCTTCTTGATGAGAATTAGAATTTAGAAAGAATTCTGAGAGAGAACGTTGAAAATGTACGTTTCAAGAGTACTAGCGACACGATGAGAAATTTACAACGATGAGCGCAGCGAAATGAGTTTTGATATCATGGACCTCCTTGGATATGATCGTCTTCCATTATTTCCCAGACTGAAATCACGCATGCAAGTATTTTGATTTAGAAATAATTATATTTAATAAAATTTTAATTCATATATAAATATATAATAATATTATATATTCATATATAAATCAAAATTTTATTAAATTGCGGTATTATGTATATATGTAATAAAATAATAATCAATCAAATTGGGCTCTTGAAATAATTAACTAAAATACACAAGAATGAATAATTCTTGTGTATTTTAATTAATAATTTCAAGAGTCCAATTTGATTGATTTATTGTTTTAAAATAATAATAGTAATACTAATAATACTCTAATAATAGTATTAATTATGTATGCATATAATACTGTCATCTTTTATGTTTTATACAATGTGATCACATTTTGTTTAAAATAAAATAAAAAAAAATGACTCTTGTATTTTTTTTAGTGAAAGGTAAATGTCTCGGTTATTATCATTTCAAATTAAATTTGGATATATTAGTCTTTATGTGCATTCCTATTTATTTGAATTCTGATACGTTAGTCTTTATATGCATCTTATTTCCAATTTCGTAATTAATAGAAAATTTATATTAATTTTGATTAGTTTTTTATAATTATGTCATATCTAGGGAATATATTTTTTGTAACTATACATATATTATGTAAGCGCAATATTGTAAATTTACACATTGAAATTCAATATCTAAAATTCAAAAATATTATGTCCATGCCGTCATAATAAAATAGTGAATGATATAGCAGAGATTATGGAATTCCACGAGAGAAAACGAATTAATGAAACGAAGCCGAGAACGCCGGAAATGGAATAATTCATTTCCCGATATTCCTTGATTTCCGGTTTGCGCGCGCGGACGAAGTTATGCCTGTCCGCTGCCATCATCGGTATTTCAGAGGCGATGCTATAACGTTTATTAAAAGCGGCCAACGTTAAAATACATTTCCATTTATTTAGTTCTGCATCGATTACGATATCTTTTAGCTTTCCCGAGTGCAGAGAGTGCATCTTTCAAAGATGAAAAATAAATATTGCTGATGGATAAATATATTTTATTTATAAAAAAATCACAAAACGGAGAAAAAGAAATAGAGAGAGAGAGAGAGAGAGAGAGATGAGGAAGTTGAACATATTTTTACTAATCAGATATTATTTTTAATTACTGATCCGTGAATTTTCTAAAAAACAGGAAAATCAAAGAATGAAAAGCTGCAAATTTATATTTAATTCCAGTTTCAACTTCAATTAGATACAAGTTTAACTTCTACTTTTGTTTCAGCTTGTTTTAACTTTAACGCTTTAGTTTCATTTCCAAACTTAAGCTATTTTTATTTTTAGAAATACTTTTTATACATTATACATATACAAAATATAAATAATTACACACGTGATGAAAATTTGTCAGTCCGACGCTGCGACGCGCACCGTGTCGAAACTACGCCTCGAAAATTGCATAAAGAGTAACAATTCACCCTATTAGATCAATTCCACCTACACGTATTCTCTCTCTCTCTCTCTCTCTCTCTCTCTCTCCGTTTCTTTAGTGAGCAATGCGATTACTTGTCAGAGCGTAGTATTGTCGTAGAATGCGCGGTGGTTTAACGCGCTTTAACCCACCTTTATTTTACTGATTCTTACAACGACGAGTCGCTCCGAATAGAACGAAAGTTTTTCGAAAATGCATCCGTGCGATTTAATCTAATTTCCATCGAGATTTTTATTCACTTTTCGAGTAAAATTAGTGGGGCGGCTATTGTCAGTTTGGTATATCGATTAGATCGTATATCGAACACCCGCGCTTGCCAGCCAATTGCAGAATTCTCGCGACGCGGTAATCACATTCGAATGCCATCATTAATCTCAAAGAGCTTCGATCAAAACACTCGATGTCACGATTCATCAAGCCGCTTAAGGGGAAAAAAGAAATTCCAATACAACGTGAAAAACAAAAACACAAGGAAATACGCGACTGTAAAAGTGAAGACTTTTACGAAAATGAAAATTATGGGATAGATCTGGAAGAACTAGAGAACACTCTGGTATCTTTCTATTGTACTTGAACTAATAGGCTTGTTCTTTTTGACTGAACTTTTGCACCAATTCGTCTTGCCCCCTTTTCTCTCTAGGAAGAAAGAAAAAAAAGAAAGATGAAGTGGTGCAAAAGTTCAACCAAAAAGAACAGGTCTTATGATACTATGATTTACATATACATGGGGGAATGATTAACAGCGTGAACGATTTAATCAAATCGATTATCTTATATTATTCGTATCATGTTACTATTAATATTTTTTTAATTAAATAAAAAAATCCTGTATTTTTAAAGCGGATTTTGTACTTAATTACTTCTGTGTCAATTTATATATAAATTCATATTCTTTTTGCAAACTGCGTGCCGAAATTTGTTTTCGGTCTTGAAATGCAATCATGAGCAGAACTAGAATAGTATTATTATTCATATTAATATCTTATTATTTATATATATTTCCTTTAAGAAACTTTTTACCTGATGAAAAAATCGTGTACAGTGATGATTAATGATATTTTATTCACGACACATTATTAATTCGAAAAACTCTCTTTTTCTCTCTTTGTTTTTCTCTCTTAATTAATTGAACCCTCTCAACACAAACTCTCCGCCTATCTACAGAAGCACCAAGACACAGCGCGATCTAAAATGTACTGCGCGCAGGATATAGTAACAACGATCTGTCTGATCTCGTATCTCGTTAACAGCAATCGAGGAAAGCGTTTTGCTCTCCGTCTTTCCTTCAGCCACATCTCCCTCTCTCTCTTTCCCTCTCTTCCGGAGGATTTGAGCGATAGCTTGGCTTATGGTTATTTCCGCGGATTATATCGCACCCTCGTTTTAATATAAATAACATAGCCCGTGCCTCTCCAAGTATCAATTTCCAAGAGTCAAGAGCTATCAAGCCAATTCGTTAATCAGTATTTACAAAATTCACGTATTTACGCAAACGCGTTCACGTAATGATGCTAAAGAATTTATGATTTACGATGCGTGCTCTTTGTAATATGCAAACAATAGCCCTTTGAACAACAAAAATTGTCGCAAAGTCAAAGCAGACAATGTCGTAACGTAATTAAGACAAGTTACGTCAATACCGCTATATGTAGTGTTACGTAGAGCTTTCGATCGTAATGATTTCTTGCACGTGTCGCTTTTGTGATCGTACAGAAAACACGTGTTTTCCTTTGTTCCCCTTTTATAGAGTTTCAGAGTATAAAAGAGTAAAACAGAATATTAAAAAAATAAAGGATTCTATTAACAAATGAATAATTTTATGTTCGTTTAATTAAACGATTATAACGTCGAAATCAGTATATAAACGATTACTGTGATTGAGAATAACTTATTTACTATTATATTTGATATCAAATACTGCGATAGTCGTTGTAACGTAATTACAGATACATTAGACACTTTTTATATATATTAAAAATGTATATTTTTAATATTAAAATGACATTTTAAAAGATTTTTTAGATATATATATATGTATTTTTTAAGATATGTATATATATTTATATTCACATACGTAAGGATATTATATATTTTTTTCCCTTTACTTCATTATATTGGCTAAGTTAATGAAATACATCTGAATTGCCACTATTGCTCAAAGATATTGATATAAACATATTTCTAAAAATAAAAGATTGAATTTGTTCTTTTCTTTCTTAATATGATTATCTATTACGGTTTTATTTTTAGCGATCAACATCACGCAAGGCATTTTTAGCAACAATAATATCAATTGATATTATTGTTTATTTAATAACATGGAATCACGCTCGATAATGGTCAAATCCTGCGCGTAGCTTTTATATTTCTCCATTTATGTGCTTCATGTTTATATTTTTTGTAATTTTTAGAGACACGATTACACACTGAAAGCTTCATTAATAATCCAAAATTAATTGATATCATATATAATAAAGATTATTTATTAAAAATTGATTTTATTTTTAATTTTACGAAATTTTAATTTATTTGATGCGGTGGTGATGCATATATAGATACACGGATTCGAAATTTCGATAATTAGTATGCTGTAATAAAGCGATTAATATGCTGTATCAAATGTCATATTACCACGTACGTATGATGGAAGAGTCCTTCTCGCTTCCATTTCACATTGCCATCCGAAATTCGGTATCAATTCCTTCAAGATGCATCGGTAAGACTCGCGTGTGTAACAATTTGTGTATAACAATTCTTCTTGTTAATTATCTGAAGCACCAAACCCACCACAATTGAGAAGGTCTATCCGATGATATCAAATAGCACTCACAACGATATCAAATGGGTTTATTGCGTCTGAGAATTTCGGGCATACCGTGTGTTCGTACTACGTCGATCGGTCCGAGAGGTACCCGAGGAGATCCCGGGTATCTCGGGTATTACACTTCGCGTTCGATCGCACATGGAACTACGAGATCCCAGAGTAAATTTCCGTGGCAACACCGGATGGGAAAGCTGCGTCCCTTCCACCCTGGCTCGGGGAAACGTCCGACGAGTATTGGAATTTTGGAGATGATTTACGAAGCACGAAGATCCCGCCTGAGCATCCCGCCTATGCGTGGATACGCACGCGTGCGCGCGTACATCGCGTGAAAGCGATGGACGTAAGTAGGTGTGATGACCAGGGAGAGATTACGCACGCAGGTCGCAGCATCGCGTTCTCTCTAGTAGGATAGGACCGCGCTCCGGCCGGAGGACTCGTGCCGCCGCTCTTTCCGCTCCGCTTTTCGGTGCTTATCGATCGGCTGTCTCTCCGTCTCTACTCTCTCTCGCGGCCCTTTCGCACACACCCCTCGCGAGAGACGTCGCGTCGTCTCGTTGCTCCGCGAACGAAGGTGACTTTATACGACGACTCCGCCGCGCCGGGCCCACCGTCACAGCCGAGCAGTGTCACTTAACGTTAATCTCGACCTTTAAACGCTTCGCGCATAAGGACACGAGGATGCTCGTCAACGTCGAGACCTCGGCAACGTCCTCCGCGGGGGGGTTGTTTCCAGAATCTGGACCTCGCGGTTGCGGCCAAACGAAGCGCCGCGCACTCTCTTCCTCCTTCATCCTTTCTCTCTCTCCGCGCGCGCATGGACCAAACGGGTAGATTACGAGACCCGCGTTCTCGCGTTCTCGATCCAGTGGGGTGAGATGGAAAGAGCAGAAGCGAGAGAAAAA